GAACACCACGCTAGAACAAAACACATTGATGCCAGATATCATTTTGTTCGCGACTGCGTCAAAGATGGGATTTTTGAGATCGTTCACGTTTCCACGCACGACATGTTGGCAGATATGCTCACCAAAACTCTCCCCCGTGTCCTGCTAGAAAAACACCGTCTCATGTTTGGTCTTGTTTGATTTTGATTTCTTATTTTTCTGCTTCCTTCTCTCTCTTTCAATTTCTCTTCTGCTTTCCAACTATTTTAAGTCAGTCATTAGCAAGGGGGGGTGTTGAGATATCTGTGACATCCCATTTCATTTTGTGTGCTTCTTCCTGATTTCATTTCTACCATGTCACATCCTGTGACATTCACTTGTTTTTATTTAGTTCTTATACTGGATTCAGTTGTGTTTGGGATGCTTTCTTTTCCTCATCCTTTCCAACACTTTGTCTCCAGGTATGTTCTCCTTTTCCTTCTCATTTTTCTCTCTTCTCTCTTCATGTTGAAATGAATCATCATCCTTTCCAACACTTTGTCTCCAGTCACCTGAGTTCATCTCAACAAAAATTCACCAAGTATTACATTAAATTTCATTTGTATGAAAATTGTGATGATTGATAATGAATAACATGAATTTCCTTCCTGGAATATAAATTCTCAATCCTGATACAACTGAATATGATTTTTGAAAGGCTTTCATCTTATGTGGAAGGTAATGAACATTGGAATCAGTAAATTTTGCCTGGAGATCTGGCTAAGTGAAAAGAAAAATCTCCCAAACACCAATAAAAACTTTACCAAAAAATCACTATTTACATCTTGTGATCTATAATTATGATAATTTTGAGAAAGAATTGATTATTAATTTTGAAAATGATTGTGTTCACACCTTGGAATTTCCTCAATCTCAATCATTTTTATTCATTCTGACCAAATGTTTGAGCTGGATATATAATGCTTCTGAAATACACAATAGTTCAATTGGGATACCTGGGTAATGGAGATACAAATTAAGTAATGAATAGGACAGGCATAGGGCATAAATACAGTCATTGATATATCAAGGATGGGGCTGGGATAAGCTGAACCACCCAATAGTGGGTTCCTCATCTTTTTTCCTGGTGTATGTGGTTTTTAGTTATACCACCAAACAGAGAATTAAGATGACTTGATTTGATAAGATGGAGTTTGAGGCAGAGGTTTAGTAGAAAAAGAATGAAGTGATCATTCAGAGAGACAGAGAAGAAACTTAGCAGAAAGATGCAAGCTGAACTTGAAGGAATGACTTACTATTTGGTGATCCTGACACTGAGAGTGGGAAGATTCCAAAGAGTAAAGGACTCCAAACGATAACACGGTGTGGAACTGCTGAACAACCAGAACAGAGCTTAGAGGGGAAATAGAAAACTACACTACTAGTAATGTAAGTTAAGCTATGAGTGCTGATGAGGCTGCCCTCTGAGACTAATTCTGAGGAGAGAGGGTTTCACTAAGAATGAGAAAGAGGTGTGGCTAATTTCTAACTGATTCTTAGACTGCTATAACTAATGAGGTTGTTCCTTATCGATCCTACAGGGGAAGAAGTGAGACTATGAGGGATGTAAATAGAGCAGAGCTCTGAGGACACTGGGTGTAAAGGTATTTCTGGGGCAAGCACCTAAACAGGGCAAGGTCACTAAAGTGAGTTCTGAAAGTAAAAATAGAATTTATCTGAGGGGCACAATAATATCTGTAGGGGAGAAAATGCATAAGGGGTGTACAAATGATAAGAAGACTGTATATATACTCTAAGGTACAAATGAGCACAGGTTACAGTTAGTCTGGCTATGGGAGCACAATGTACAGATGTAGCACAAGAGATGTGAAAAGCAAACAATCAAAAAGGAGGATGAGTAAAGAAAAACAATCCCAAAAGATAAGGAGTGTGAAAGAGTGTACTACTGTTATCCTGAAGGCATATGAGAAAGCATAGTTGTAAGGAGTGTGTCTGAGAAAATATATGTAGTAATGTAATGTGAAAAGAAATACTTGTAAAGGAGTGTGGCTGATGTAATGAGAAGAGATATATGTAAGAAGATAGTACTTGTGAAAAATATGATGTATGTAGTAAACTGTAAATATGTGCTGTATGTAGTTAAGGTGCAATGTAAATGTAAAGAATAATATCTGTAAAACTAAAACTGCAAATAACTAATGAACCAGTAAGAAATGAGATATGACTTGAGTGAGTGACTATAGGTAAAAAGGGGTGTAGAATCTGAATAAGCAGTAATATTATAACAATTCCCAGTGAATGTACAGTAAAATAATAGATGATATGGAAAGGTATGGGTTACCACATCCTCCCCCAACTTATTGTCTGTCCCCAGACAATGCAGCCAGTATGAAGATAGAAGACTAAAAGAATATAAAGAAAAATTAAAGAAAAAAAGTAACTAGTAAGGGAGGCAAAGGGAATCCAGAAAGGGGTCCATCCAACAGGAGCCAAATCCAGAGTTCAGGGTTGATCCACTTCCAGGAGGAGTATCTGTTCCATCCAAGAAGGCCAAGTCCTATATCCAAAAATAAGACCAAGGAGGGAATCTGTATCCAAAAAAAAAGAAGGGCCAAATCCAAAGTACTGTAGTTGATCCAATCCAAGAGGCCAAAATATAATCCAGACATTGATCCACTCCAAGAAGGCCAAGTCCATAGTATCCAAAAGTGAACCACCCTAAGGAAGGAGTATCTGTTCCAATCCAAAGAGGCCAAATCCAAATAAAACAAAGTTGAACCACTTCCAAGAGGCCAAGTCCAGATTCCAGGGTTGAACCAATCCAAGAAAGCCAATGTCCAGGTATCTAAAGAAAATTCTTAAAAATGGGCCACCCAATGGAGGAATTCTGTTATCCTTTCAATGAGGCCAAGTCCAAGAGTCCTGAGGTTGAAGTTCCATCTAAGAAAGCCAAAGCCAGGTGACCAAAGAAAATCCAAGGGGAAAGACTGAGTCCAATAGTCCAAAATAGTCCTAAGGCCAGTAAAAGAAAAAAGGATTAATGATAATTGAAACACTTCCAGGGAGGAGTATCTGATCCATCCAAGAAGGCCAATATCAAGAGTAAGACCTAAGTTGATCATCTTCAAGCTGGAGTATCTGGTTCCAACAAGAAGGCCAAAGTAGGTAAAGACTTCTGAAGTTGATCCAATTCCAGGAGGAGTATCTGTTCCATCCAAGAAGACCAATCCAAGAGTAAGACCTGATTTGAAAGGCAGGTAAGGTTGATAAAAGAAAAATATCTGAATTCCAAAGTCCAAAAGAATCTGAGTCCAATGTCCAAAGAGGAAAGTCTGAGATGCCAAAGGGGAAAAAGCCAAAATCCAAGGTCCAGAAAGAGGTCCAGGGAAGTAAGAAGGTTTATAATAATATGTAAACTAAATATATCCAGTAAAATAAACTATGTAAAATATCTTCTATTCAATCTGACTGAAAAATCTGAGTAAAGCTGGGGTTCAAACTAATTATTTCAAAGCTGGGATACACTAATATATATACCAAAATCTGAAGAAGTCTTAAGGAAAGTAACACACAAGACTAAGAATAAGGAGGGGTTTTGTTTGGAAGAACTACTTCTAAAAATAATGGTTGTAATCTATATATAAGGGAAGTGTAACCAACAAAAAAAATGGCTATTATGACTGAAATTCATAATTGTAATAAGTTGTGATGATGGTGGATGAATAAAATATCTACATAGTAGGAGGAGTAAATTTTCTACATGGTGGGAGGAACCAAAAATCCAGGTGGGGGGTGAAGCTCAGGTGATTGGTGAATGGTGGGGTACAGGGATGATGGTAAGCTTTGGGTGATGGTGCTCCAAATTCTGGGGGTTCATGGATCCATGGGTCCCCTTTTTTTCCAAGAAGGTTCAGTGGTTAAATAAGCTGAGCTTAAAAAAGTAGTTTTTCATTACTGGCCAGATTGAGAAAAGTGGGTCCCAGGATCTCCAAATAAGGAAAAAGCCTAGAAGTTTGTCCAAAAGAGAAAGATTTTTACAGCTCAAGTTCCTAGGTGTCTGGTGAAAATAACTCCCAAGAAGGCCAATCTAAAAGAGAAAGAAGCGCACGACCCTTGGCGAATACGAAAACGAAACGAGTAGAAGGGGCGGCGATGTCATAGATTGAGAGAAGAAGGAATCGGAACTGGGTCGAACACCAGAGTCAACATTAAAAAAGAAAAAAAAAAAAACTATGATACACAGCCCGGATCAAGCACTGGCGTCGAAAGAAGATGAGATGAAGAGGCCCGAGTCGTACAATGGAGTTGAAAGGGTTTAATGACAGAGAAAGCGTGACGCAGCTTGGATCGCACACAGGAATCGAAAAAAAATCCGCTGATAAGAGAAAATTAAACACTGCCCGGTTCGCGCACCGGCATCGAAAAAAGATAGGGTGATAAGGAAATGAAACACCGCCCGTATCACGCACCGGCATCGAGAGAGAATCTTAGATGGAGGGGTGTAGATGAAAGGGACCCGGGTCCACCCATGATGACGAAATGATATTTATAAAAAAAAAAAAAAAAAAAAAGAAATGAAGACCGGATCGTACACCAGCACTGCATAGTGTGCTATTGGGTAGAGCACCGGTATCCAGAAAGGTTAAATGAAGAGAGAAACGAACAACACAGCCGGATCGAGCACCGGCAACGGATGAGATTAAAATTTGTGTGTAAGCCGGCATCGAACGGCATAGCTTCACCAGCAAGTCGAGTGCTGCCGTTAAAACCTAGGTCTGAGGTTCTTTTGGTTAATGATCCCCAAAAAAGCAAGATGAAAAAATTTCCTCGGCGGAATCGCAGAATCGGAGTTAGCCATCGCTTTGGGTTGCATGAGTGTGCCTTCGACAGTGACCCCTCCAATGACTGGGTCTTCAGACATAAAAGGCGGCTGTATTGTCCAACAAAAAGCCCATTGCCCCTAGTCCTTCCTCCAGACCGTCTAGTCCTTCCGTTCTCTATTGCAGCCTTTGAGCCACCCCATGTCCTTCTCACGACCTCTTTCCATCGCATCGTTGGATGCTACTATTACCGGTACCTGCTCTGAGTCTGATTCCATCGACGAGCGTTCGCCAATCGATTTCGATTCCGTCGCCATTTGCTCGCCAGTCGACTACGATTCCGTCGACAAGCGCTCTCCGGCTCAACCAGGAGACTATTCAAACTTCAGTCCGGCGTTCACCCAAGACACTTTTTTGCTTGAAGAGCTACACGACTTCAGAATCCTAATTACCGACGAACTCATTTGCTTTGCCAGAAGCGCCAGCGCTGCCAACGAAGAAGATTGAAATCAACGACTGAGATTGTACAGCCGTGTTGAAGACCTGTTTTCGACTGTAAGTTAAGCTTTTTCGTTTCCGCAAGATCCATTGCGGCCGTTACTAATTCTTGTTTTAAATTTTCTAACTTCCAAGCTTCATTTGCATCAACTAGGCCCGCCTATGGAGCTTCGCAGGGCCCTCATCCAGGCTAAAGGCAAGGAGGAAAAGAGGAAAGACAGGGAGGAGATGGTGGTCTTCCACAAGGAAGTTGGTGAGCTTAATTTTCACTTAGAAATTATACTTCACTTGAGCTGTATGAGGGAACCTGTTACTAATTTTTTTTTTTTTTTTTTTTTTTATGTAAGAGGCACAATCAGGGGAAGGGACTGAAGAGTATGTGTCAGAAATTAAGGCCCTTGTAGAAAACCAAGGTATGTAAGTTTTTTTTTTTCTTTTATATATATACTGATTTTCTTTTTTTTTTTTTTTTTGGTTTGTTTTATTTTCTTGTGTAATATTTTTTTACATGGCTTGCAGCATACCTTCTGGCCAATTCAAAGCCATCCAGTTCCTCCAGAGTATAGGATCCACCTGGGTTTTGAGATTTCACCTTGTAAGGTCCATTCCACTTGTTTTCAAACAATTTGCCCCACTGGGAGTCCAAGGATTTGTTGTAGACTAATACCAAATCACCTTCTTTCAATGGTTTTCTTGTCTTCTTCTTGTTGTTCCAGTAGTCCACAGATGTACCTCTAGTCTCCAATAGCTTTTGATGTGCCCTTTGCAATACAGAGTCCCTGTTCTCCAGTTGAGTTACCCTGGCCAAGAGAAGGTCCTGAGTTGTTGCCACTTGATCCCATTCCACTCCAAAGAAGGTTTCCAATTCAAGGTCAATTGGTAAGATAGGGGGCTGGCCAAAAACTAGTTCATAAGGTGAGTATCCAGTTGATCTTTTGGTTGAAATCCTGTCAGCAAATAAGATTAATGGTAAATAATTTCTCCATTTCTTGCCTTCCTGTCCACAGAGCTTGACCAGGGTGTCTTTGATTGCTTGATGTCCTCTCTCAACCATTCCATTGGCCTCTGGGTAGTATGGTGTGGTGACTTTAACCTTTATTCCAGATTCTTGAAGGGATTTTTGAAATTGCTTGCTGAATTCAGAGCCTCCATCCACTGCTACAACCAAGGGAGCTCCATATCTGTGAATCCAATGTTCCAGGAACCATTCTGATATTTTCTTTGCTTGAAGTTTTTCTAGTCCAATGGCTTCCACCCATCCTGAGAGGTCATCTCTGGCCAGAACTAGGTATTTCCATCTTCCTGCTTTGATGTGAACTGAATCCAGGCTGACTCTTCCAAAGATTGTTGATTTTCCTGTAGGTTTCCTTGGCTCCATTGGCAAGACTGAACTCCTTTTCTGGCAAGCTTCACAGGACTGGACCCATCTGGTGACTGATTTCTTGAGACCTGGCCACCAAAATCTGAGCTTGGTTCTGGTATAGGTTTCTGTGATTCCTCTGTGGCCTAAGGATTCATGAAGGGAGTGAAGGATAGAATTCTGAGCTGTGGGGGAAGTGACCACAATCTGGGAGAAAGGTTTGTTGATTCTGTGTAGGACACCATTGGAAAGGAAAAAAGAGGCTGATTTGTGCAAAATTTGTTTGAATTCCAGGTTACTGCATCCAGGAGGTCTGTTCATTGTTGCAAGGTATTCTTCCAAAAGTTTCCAAATTCCTTGTTGCAGAGAAGTTACCCCCTCCCCCAACTGAGCTGATGTCCCCAGCAGCATTCCAGAAAAAGCTTGTTTGACTCCAAATCCAGGGTGTGGCTTGATCCATTGTTCATCTTCATCAAAACTAGGACAATCTTCTTCATCTGGATCTGGGGGCCTCCTGGAAAGTCCATCTGGCATAGTGAAAGTTTTACCTGGAGTATGTACCAAATCAAAAGAAAAAAGCTGAATAAAGGCTATCCATCTGTTCATAGGGGCATTGGGAAGTGAGGGGTTGTTGATCATTCCAATAAGGCACTTGGCATCCACTCTGAGCTGAAAATGTTGGCCCCAAAGTTTGGTTTGAAGTTTCTTGAGGATTTTGGTGACTCCACAGAGCTCAAGTTTGGATTGTGAGTATTCAGATTCTCTTTTTGAAAAGACTACTGACTCATAAATAACAGGTCTGTCCAGTCCAGCTGAATCTTCCTGAGTAAGAACTGCTCCAGCAGCAATGTGACTGGAATCCACAGAAAGCTTGATGAGGCCAGCTCCAGGTCCATAGTCCATCTTCTTGAGGGTGATGTCAGTCCCAATGATTTTCTTCAGTTCTTCAAAGGCATCCTGGCATTCATCAGTCCAATCCCAGGTGGAGTCCTTCCTGGTGAGTTTTCTGAGAGGTGCAGTGATGGTGGAATAGTCTTTGATGAACATTCTGACATAAACACAAATTCCAAGGAATCCCCTGACAGCTGTTGGAGTGGTGGGAATTGGCCAGGATTCAATTTTGTTGAGCTTCTTGACTGAGATTCTTCTTCCTTCCTTACAGACAACATGGCCAACAAGATCCAGGGCAGGGACACAACAAGCAAATTTCTTTCCAGAAATGGTGAGTCCAGCTTCTTCAATTCTGAACAGTATCCTCTCCAAAGTGATGGCATATTCATAAATAAATCTTCTGATTTTTGGGTTGGCCTCCAGGGTTTCTCCATTGTAGTCTGAAGTTGGTCCTTTGATTCCTCCATCATCAATGAAAATTCCCATGTTTTCTGGCAATTCATCTTGAAGAATCCAAGTCATCTGGGCCTGGTAGACTGCGACTGAGTTGGTGGCACCTTGAGGAAGTCTGGTGAGTTGGAACCTGCCAAGTGGAGTTTCAAAAGTTGTTAATGGTCTGGATTCTGGTGCTAATTCTCTTTCATCATAGCCTCCCATAATGTCCCCAAGTCCATAGCAAGCACGTCCAGTAAATGACTCCACTAATTCCTCTGGTGAAGGTGGAAGACCTGCATCCTTAATGGTGACTTTGTTGAGTTGTTGAAGGTCATGAACTATTCTTAATTTACCATCTTGCTTTTTTACACAGAAGACAGGGCCGGAGTAACTGGAAAAGGATTGTTCATAAAGGCCAGTCTTGAGTCTTTCCCTCACCAGTTCAATGAATTGAGGCCTGATTGGAGCTGGAATATTGATTGGTTTTTGTTGCCAGGGCTCATGAGGAATGACAGGAATGATGTAAGGTTGTCCATAGGTGTGTTTGAGTAGTCCTCTTTCTTGTTCCACAAAGGCCAAGGCTCCCTGCCTGAGGGTGATGACCCAGACTAATAAATTGTATTCTTCTTTTGACAGCCATCCAGGGGGGCCAAAATTGATAACATCCAGTCTTTCTTGTGTAAGTTTGGAGGTGGGTTGAAAAGAAGGTGGAAAGGGAGTCAAAGGGGTTGCATAGGGGTCTCTAGAGAGTGGTGGTCTTGAAAGAGGAGGGTTGAGGGAAAGGGGCATAGGTTGATTTACAGGTTTGATTTTTTTTAGAGTTGATTTGTATTTTGTGGCATAGGTGACTAATTCTGGTTGATTGGGTGGTTGTGACAGGTCCAGATACTCTACTTGGTAGATCTGAAATCCTGCCTCTGGTCCAAAAAATCCCTGGTGGCCAAGAAAGAAGGAAGGGAGGTTTCCCATTTGTGGTGGTTGGGCCTGCAAATTGGTATTAGGTAGGCATTCCCTTTGTTGTCCAAGACTGAAAGAGATTCCCCCTTTGATCCATTGTATCTGATTTGAGCAGAGACATCCATCAAGAAAGGCTTCCCCAAGATGAATTGCACTCCTCCTCCCTTGGCAACCCAAAAGTGAACTGCCCTGGTGACCTTTCCAATTTGGACTTCCACTCCTTCAGCAATCCCTAGTATGGTAGTGTGGTGGCCTCCAATTCCTCTGAGCTTCATTTCCCTTTCTGTGATGACTAGTCCAAGCTGTTGAGCTATTTCTTCAGGAATAAGGTTGACCATGGAGCCAGTATCCAAAAGAGCCTGGTGAGTTGTGCCATTTATTCCAAGTCTGATGTATCCAAGGGGACAAGAGTAATGAGTGGTTGAATCCCTGTCTTCTTCTTCATCAGTATCCAGGGCTCCATGGTTGGAAGAAGCAAGGTCCTCTAAAGATCCATGGCTGGAAGAAGTGTTGGGTTCAATGGGTACTCTTCTGTTGGAAATTTTTCTTTTAACAACCTCAGAAAATCCAGGGGCCAGGGCAAAAAGTTCTCCACAGCTAAGCTCTATCTTGGTCTCCTTAAGAAATCTGCTGGCAGTTGCCTCATCCACCTGGGGGTATTTCTTTGACAAGGCTTTTTCCAAATAGGTCTTCTTGGTAGGCTTCTCTTTGGGACTGCTGGGTTCTGGATCTTCAGTGTTTTGAAACCTGACTTTGGATTGGGCAGAGTTTTGTTTGGATTGCTGAGCAGAGTTCTGTTTGGTCTGAGTAGAGGTGCTGGGCTTGGGTTGCACAGGAGGACTGGGTTTCTGAGAAGGCTTGGAAGGGGGGGTGGCCATTTTAAGTAAGTCATCCTGGTCCATATCCATAAGAGTGTCTTTCTCCTTCCTGCTTCTCTTCTCTGTGGCTGGCTCCTCCTCATCTTGGTCCTTGGAAGATCTGGTCCTTTTCCCCAAGTCCACGTCATAAACAGAAGGATGTGTTTCAGTGAGTTCTTCTAGTTGTCCAAAGGAAGAAATGATGCCAGAGGGTTCCTTTGAGTACTGATCCACTACCTGCTTGATTGGTCTAGAGGTATCCCAGGGGATGGTGGTATTGTCAGGAAGCTTGTAAGTCTTTCCTTCCCTGATGACTAGGCCTTGAGATTCATCATAGCTGAGGAGACTGCATTTCATGGTACTGTGGGCAGGTTGAAAGCAATAGTAACACTTGAAGTCTGGGTTCCTAGGAGCTGGGATGTTTTGCTGGGAAGAGGGGCCAGAAAGGTGAGGGGGAACCATTTTTCCAGAAGTGAAAGCTGCCATTTGCCTAGTGAGCTCATCCAATTTCTGGTCTGTTGATTTGCTTGCAGGAGGAACAGAAGGTCTGGGATTTCTAGGAGCTTTAGTGGAGTTGGAAAAAGAGTTGTCCTTGGTGGGTTCCATCTTGAAGAGGTTTCTTCTGGCCATGAAAGATGCTGACTGAACACTTCTTTGAGGATGTAGGTGATTAAAACCTTGGAGCTTGGAAGTAGATCCCCACCATCCCTGGAGGCCAACATTTCATTCTTGCTGATGAGTTCCTTGGTGACTGAAGTTTCCAAATCAGGGCTGAGTGAGTCCAACAAGTATTCCCTAGATTCCTCCAAGTGAGAGATGTGGCCCATGGTGAAGAGGTAATTGGTGATGACTTCATATTTGGATCTGAAAACTTTGAATTCTTCCAGGGTCTTGATTCCTCCAGACTGGATAGCTTGGTGGACCAGTTTCTTGAGATCTTGCTTGGAGTATTTGACCAAAGGAACAGAGGTCCCAAACCTGTTAAGTAACTGTTTCTTCAAAATTTCCCAGTCAGCAGCTTCATGTCCAGTAATTTCTTCCACTTCATCCTTGAGGTCTGGTCCTTTGATGAATGAGAGGACCTGTTTGGCCAAATCCCTAGAAGAAGCACCATCAGCTGACCCTGCATTCACATATCTTCTGATAAATTTCTCAATAGGTAGATTAGTTCCATCAAACAAAAGATCTTTATCCATGGGTTTAATCTTGACACTCTTGCCTCTGGGTCCAGCATAGGCAGGCATAGTTGGTTCCTTTTCCAAGAAGTGAGTCCTATGAGTATGAACAGATTTGGTTGAGGGGTTGGGAGAATTGGGCTGTAGTCCAAGGAGGTCTGAGTTTCCAGAGGATTGAGGCTGATTTTCCCTGTATTGGTTGAAGGCATTAGAGGTTCCAGGATTTGCTGCTCCAGTGTCAGGGTTGGTGGGTTGCCAAGGATTTCTGGTGGAAGTCTGTCCAAGGTAGGTACTGGCCAGGTGCTCCAAGTTGGAAAGGTCCAAGGGTGAGAGTTGAGGAGGGTTGGACATGGTAAAAGTAGGTGAAGAAAAAAAGGGTTGTAAAAGAAGATTCTAGGGAAGTGGAATTGCTAAAGGTTTATTGCCAAGGTGAAGAAGAAAAAATATAGCAAGGAGGGAAAGCTGATATGTTTTGTGAATTTAATAGGTTTAAAAGAACTAGAAATGTACTTCAAGAGGAATGGGATGGGTGAGGGAGGTAGGTGAAAAGTACTGCAAACTGATAGTTATAGGTAACTAGGACTAATTCTAAAGGAAATCAAGCCACTGTTGGGACACCACTTGTGGAACTGCTGAACAACCAGAACAGAGCTTAGAGGGGAAATAGAAAACTACACTACTAGTAATGTAAGTTAAAGCTATGGGTGCTGATGAGGCTGCCCTCTGAGACTAATACTGAGGAGAGAGGGTTACACTAAGAAAATAAGAAAGAGGTGTGGCTAATTTCTATTTGTTTCTTAGACTGCTATAACTAATGAGTTTGTTCCTTATCAAACCTACAGGGGAAGAAGTGAGACTATGGGGGTTGTAAATAAAGCAGAGCTCTGAGGACACTGTGTGTAAAGGTATTTCTGGGGCAAGCACCTAAACAGGGCAAGGTCACTAAAGTGAGTTCTGAAAGTAAAAATAGATTTTATCTGAGGGGCACAATAATATCTGTAAGGGAGAAAATGCATAGAGGGTGTACAAAATGATAAGAAGACTGTATATATACTCTAAGGTACAAATGAGCACAGTTTACAGTTAGTCTGGCTATGGGAGCACAATGTACAAATGTAGCACAAGAGATGTGAAAACAATCAAAAAGGAGGATGAGTAAAGAAAAACAATCCCAAAAGATAAGGAGTGTGAAAGAGTGTACTACTGTTATCCTGAAGGCATATGAGAAAGCATAATTGTAAGGAGTGTGTCTGAGAAAATATATGTAGTAATGTAATGTGAAAAGAAATACTTGTAAAGAAGTGTGGCTGATGTAATGAGAAGAGATATATGTAAGAAGATAGTACTTGTGAAAAATATGATGTATGTAGTAAACTGTAAATATGTGCTGTATGTAGTTAATGTGTAATGTAAATGTAAAGAATAATATCTGTAAAACTAAAACTGCAAATAACTAGTGAACCAGTAAGAAATGAGATATGACTTGAGTGAGTGACTATAGGTAAAAAGCGGTGTAGAATCTGAATAAGCAGTAATATTATAACAATTCCCAGTTAATGTACAGTAAAATAATAGATGATATGGAAAGGTATGGGTTACCACACCGTTGAGTTTTAAAAAAATTGGATTGCCCCATTAAATTCTACTCCTATTAAAACCTAGGAAATAAATTTCAAATTCTAAAAAAACATCAAAAATAAGGTACATACATGTATGCAAACAATTAATTGAGAAATGAGTGAAAAAAATAATGAATAATCAAAATTCATTTTTATGGAAAATGGTTTTAACCATTAGATTCTACACCTTTTAAAGTGTAGGAAACAACTTTAAAAAGTCAAAAAAACTTGAAAAATAACCCATAAAATTCAAATACAAAACCGTGTTTAAACGCAGAAACCGCGTGCGCTGTGCCGCAGCAAAACTGTGTGTAAACGCGGAAAAACTGTGTTTTTTTATTAATGCCCTAAAAATAAGGGTGGTAACATAATGGGTAGTAAGTGTAAAGGTGGGTTGAGATGATCTGGTCCACTGGTGGGATGATGAAAGGTACAACTGGCAGGCAGAGGCCTCCTTATATAGACTAAGGTGAGGGATTTTAGCTCCAGGGTACATGCAGGTGAGGGAATTTAGCTGGCCTGAAAATCCAATGAGGGAATTTAGATAGTCTAATACATGCAGGTGAGGGAATTTGGCTGGTGAGGGCACTGCCTTGAGGGATTTTGGCTAGCCTACAGGGTTCTACTACAACGGAATGGATGTGCACCTACAAAGGAATTCAATATGCACTATGAGCTAATAAAGGAATTCAATACAACACAAAGGAATTCAATATTCAATAGGCGTCTAGTATTCAAAACAAGCCATACTGAGAGTAAAGAATCCAAAAGACATCCTGTGACAGGTTGAAATCTGTGTAACTTCTAAACTATGAGAGGTATGGGTTTAGTTTTAATGAGTAAATAGGGGTTATTTTAACTGAGAAATCCATTTCTGATGTCATTTTTACTATATATATAATATATTTATAAAGAGATAATAATAAATTTTTATATTTTTCTGCGTAGAAACACAGTATTATTGACCACACCACTTTTCTTGTTTCCAATCATCCACAGTCAGGTTGAATCTCTTCAGTGGATTGTTCCTGAGACCATATGGGGTTGGTTCAGACAGCCCCGAATCTAAAAATCCCTGTTTCTTGTGGAATCATAATCCAACCATTAGCTCTGGAATTCTCCTTGGTCAAGGGGTAAAATTACCAAATAACCTTCACCTTGAATACTCCATCTTCTTGGGGAAGCCCCTGCGCACTATACACTTGAACCTGGATCCAATTGCCTTGCTTTAATTGTTGAATTCCTCTCAATGTAGTCGGGTTTCCAGCCAAAATTAGAATTTTAACATTCTGATTTTGCAAAAACCAAGAAAGGGATCTAAAAGATAAATATGTCAGTGGAGGACTTCCCGTCGCGATTTAGAGCGCTTTTTAGACCTCTCTCAGTCTTAAATTAAGAAAGCAATTGATATTCCAACCAGCTCATGTGAGAGCTGTTTCTGGAAGGCTTCAGAAAAAAGATTTTTTTGATAAAAAATTTAGATCTAGGGGGTGTAAAACAACTTCTAGGAGGGTCGTAGATTGCGACGGGAAGTCATCCAGTGTATTACTATAATGATTGAGATCTTGTCCTACCCAGTAGAAAAAAATTAACCTCTCCCAGAGAGGGATTAACAACCTTGATGTAGCTATTCCATTGGTTTTGGCAATTCCAGAAAACCCCCACCACATAGAAATTCCCCAAAACAACTGCCTTCTCAACTTCATCCTTGACCATGTTATTGAGTTCACCCAGATGTGCCATCCAGCCACCGGAGGGAACCTCAATTCTATGTTGAGATGCCTGTATGTAGTTCTCATATGCTTATAGTCAGATATGCTTCTACTAAGTCTATCCGCTCTACTTTGTCACCGGTACTCTCATCCTGTTTCTTCCTCACTGAAATCTACATTTATTCTCACTCGTCACTTAGTCTGTGAGTATGGCTGTCCTCAGTTTCAGTCACCTGGTGTCCCTCAACATTCTAGGTCGACAATGCATACCACATTGAATATATTTGATTTGAGTATTTGTCTTTGTATTTGAGTCAAGTCAAATAAATGGTGTGGCAGATTTCACCATGAAAAATTTGAGGGCAGTACATATCAGGTGACATGAAGCTAACTCCTCGCTTTATTCCAGTGTTACTTCAAAGTCAAAGGGACTCCCTGATGACCACAAAGGGCAAATTGTCATTTGAGCAGACAAGCACCAGAGTAACCATGGAGCTGTAACATATGTCACTTTATGTCACCTGACACCTACTGCCCTCAGATATTTCCTGGTGTTTCAGCTCAAATATTCTCTCAGATTGCCATTCAGGGCCTTTGGGGCCCCGGAGGATCTTGCAGCCTTGCATATGTAGGCCCCCTATGGGCCCCGGGGTCCCTCTACAGGATGACAAGCAGAAGAAATTGGATGGGCTTGTCCAAAATCTCAGGTTGGTCTACCAAGCCTACCATCTAGAATGGGTTGAACACTGCAAGGCAATGGACCGGCTCCGGCTCCAATTAACTCAAACACAACGACCAACGCTGACCTCAGTCACAACAACCACAGGAATCTCTGCTGGAATATCTGTCATTGAATCTGTTGAAAGTAAAACCAATGGTGGTGGAGGAAAATCATCCAGTTTGGCTGGGATCACAGGCTCCTTGACGGCCACTGGTTGGACAACCTGTTGGACTGCCAACTTTAGCACCTTCGGAATAGGAGATGCTGTCACTGATGCCCAGTTTGACCTGATACTTGCTCAACTAGGTACAGCTGTCTTGTCCCACCACCAGGAGATGAGCCGTATGATGAAGTGGTCTATCAGTTGGAACCAATGGTGATTTTTGGGACTTTTTCTTTTGAATATCTGCGAATACCCAAGTATTTGAAGGGCCCAAAAATCCTGTTGAATACCACTGTGGTATGCATTGTAGGTTGAACAGTCAGGATTGGTGGAGATGGGGTGGCTAGGTGACCAGAAATAAAAATCTGGGTATCTCTGTGCAGTATTATAGAAGGGAAAAGAAAGTTTGATGTCTTAAGCACAACATGGAATAGTGCAGTTTTGGATTGGGAAAGTCCTTGTACTACATTTGGACTAGCAACACAACTGAGCATATGTATATCTTGACCGACCACATGAATGGAGCTGGGATCAGTCAAAGACATGTGAATGTTCCACACAATATCAAGCATATTGTGATAAAATATGTTGATGCTAGTACTACTACTACAAGTGAGGAGAAGCGGAGCCAATTGGAGGGATAAAATTTAATACTATCTGGGGGGGGGGGAACGACACTTGAGGAATGGTCTTGCTCTTATAAATCTTTTTTACCACACCACTCTCGTTTTAACCAGTGTAATGTCAAAACAACTCGCCTTCTTGGATATTTGGTCATTGATAATTTGCTGTCCCACCACCACCACATAACAAAGGAGTCATGTGCCCAGGTGTTATATCAAAGGAATCAACAATCCACCGGTAGGTATAACTCCACACTGGCCCCAGTACAGGCAAGATCATCAAACCATAGAAATCAAAAGATCCCTGCACACCATGTGATGCGGGGCTGCAAATTGAAACTATAGGCTGCATGACAAAGGGGAATAGGCCAAACCCAGCCAACCTAGTTAATCTGAAGATTTGCCTCTGTTTGGCCTTGTTCTTATTTGGTGGGAGTGCCTGCATAATGTCCCATAGATTTGGGGTGGTGCACCATCATGCACAATCTTTTGTCACACCAACGTTGTGGAAAGTAAGGCGCACCCTAGGAGATTTCTTGCACTTCTCTGCTCTGCAACACGTCCTACTCCGGTTTGTTGTCCAGGGTAACTTGCTTGATGGTCTTGTAGGTAGGTAAAATAACTATTCTCTTCTAATGACTTTTTGGTAGGTAACACTCTAACAATTCTTTAGGCTAATATACGATTCACTCCTAAGTCACTCCGTTTTTCCAATATGTTCTGAGTCATAAGTTCCCCCCCTCTCTTTTCCCTTCTACTCCGAACTCCACTCTTGCCAGCTATCCCACACAAGTTCTCCTCCTGCTTCCCACGCAGTCCTCCGCTGTCACTCCCTCGTACTCCGTTTGTCACCCCTCCGACACCTGCCAGTCAGTGTACTCCTCCGGCCGCTCTTGGATAGGTCTCCCACCGCCTCTGGTCCGCTCTGAACCCCGCTTCCGCCTCTCAGTGCTCCCGCTCCCTTGTAGCCCCTCTGCAGCGTACACTAAACCCCAGTCCGCAGTCGGCCGTGAACCCCGAAGTCCGCTGTGGCGGCGAGAGCGCGCCTTGACCAAAGGTTTGGCTGGTTTGTTTGGGGGCATGCGGAATGCTCGCGGCTGATGCGGAGCTGATGCTACGCACGCAAGCTGAGGAAAGCGGTGGTGCATTAGTGGAAAGTCTAGCTTTCCGAGGCGCGGGAAAGCGGGGAAAAGTAGACCGAATGTGCAAGGTTGCGAAAAGCTTGCTGCGGGGAATCCGGGCACTGGTGGACACTGGGGTTCACGGCCGACTGCGGAACGGGGGTTCAGCGTATACTGCGGAGGGGCTACAAGGAGCGGGGGCACCGAGGGGCGGAAGCGGGGTTTGGAGCGGACCAGAGGCGGAAGCGGCGGTGAGAGACCTGTCCATGAGCGGCCGGAGGAGTACCTTGACCGACAGGCATTGGAGGGGTGACGAGCGGAGTCCGAGGGAGTGACAGCCGAGGACATTGTGGGAAGCAGGAGGAAACTCGAGTGTGGGATAATTGGGAAGAGTGGAGTTTGGAGCCGAAGAGAAAGGGGGAGGGGGGAACGGATGACTCAGAACATATCGGAAAAACAGAATGACTTAGGAGTGAATTGTGTATTAGCCTAAAGAATTGTTAGAGATAGAAGAGAGTTAGAGTGTTACCTACCAAAACCAATAAAAGAATAGTTATCTTTACCTACCTACAAGACCATCAAGCAAGTTACCCCTGGACAACAAACCGGAGTAGGACATGTTGCAGAGCGGAGAAGTACAATAAATCTCCTAGGGCGCGCCTTACTTTCCACACTGCCAGTACCCAGAATCCCCGCAGCAAGCTTTTCGGAACCTTGCGCATTTGGCCTGCTTTTCCCCGCTTTCCCGCGCCCCGGAAAGCTAGACTTTCTACTAAAGCCTGTCGCTTTCCTCAGCTTACGTGTGTAGCGTCAGCTCTGCATGCTTTCTGCATCAGCCGCGAGCATTCCGCATGCGCCCCAAACAAGCCGGCCAAAGCTTTGGCCAAGGCAGATATTGACTATGATTAATGTTGTTTGGAGTGGTGAAAAGTAATTGTGGCTTATACTTATTCCACATAACCTTCAATAGGCCAACATAGCCCATCATGTTATGTTCCTTCCATTGGAAAGAGCATACTTTCCAATGACTATGGTTAAATATATGATTGAGCATACACAAGAAGAAGGGCAAGAGAAAAAGAGATTAGGCTTCTTATATGATATTGAATGCCACATTGAAAAGGGAATAACTCAATTAAGTCATTCCATAAATTTCCAGCCCACTCCTGGTATATTTAAAGGGGCTTGGTTAAACAACTCCCAAAAAGTGGAGAGCCAACTCCCAAGCCCCGGATTCCCCAAAAAAAGGGAGTCAAAACCCCAAAACCTTTGATTGGTTTGGGAGTCGACTCCCTAGAAAAAATAATAATAAAAAATCAAAATCCCCAGTCGGTTTGGGAGTCGGCCTCCCAAACCGACCAGGGTTTAGGGGTCGATGACCCAAAATACCCAGGGCAGCGGCCAGGAGGAATCCACCCGGCCGCTGATCAGGTACACTCAACGGCCGGGAGCTGACCCCTCGGCCGTGAGAGTGCACACACCTCAGCGGCCGAGACAATTCCTCTCGGCCGTTGAGGCTATACACTCTCAACGGCCAAGACAATTCCTCTCGGCTGTTGAGGGTACACACTCTCAACGACCGATGGAAACCGTCTTGGCTGTTGAGGTGTACACAACTCAGCGGCCAAGACAATTCCTCTCGGCCGTTGAGGTGTACACTCAGAGAAACTTGGCTGCTGAGTGCACACCTCAACGGCCGAGAGCTGCATCCCGGCCGCGGATAGTGTACACCTCAACGGCCGAGGTGGTTTCCCTTGGCCGGTGAGAGTGTATATCCTCAACGGCCGAGAGGAATTGTCTCGGCCGCTGAGTTGTGTACACCTCAACAGCCGAGACGGTTTCCATCGGCCGTTGAGCGCCAAGGGGAACCGTCTCGGTTGCTGAGGTGTGTACACCTCAACGGCCGAGGCAGTTTCCATCGGCCATTGAGAGTGTATATGTACCCTTGATGGCCGAGAGGATTCCTCTAGGCCATTGAGGTGTACACTCTCATGGCCGAGGGGTCAACTCCCAGCCGTTGAGAGTGTACCTCAGCGGCTGGGAGGAATTTTCCCGGCCGCTGCCCTGGGTATTTGACCGGGGATTTTTTTTTTTTTTTTTTTTCTTAGGGAGTCGACTCCCAAACCAATCGAGGGTTTTGGGGGTTCGACTCCCAAAATTTGGGGATTGCGGGGGTTGGGAGTTGGCTCTCCATTTTTTGGGAGTCATTTAACTAACCCCCTATTTAAATTAGCTGATCGAAAAAACCTGATTTCCCATCCAATCACAAGTGTCAACAATTCTCTGATGAGCAGCAAGCCAACATGCCTAAGTTTGGAGCAAGTGTTTTCCATGCATATGTGCAGTTGTCTTGTCAACTCCAGTAAGACCCCAGGTTAAATGATGGATGGCAAGGGATTGGAGTGCATCTGGTCCTTCCTATCACCATTAATAAGTCAACTCCGCTACTCAACCAAGAACCACCAGCTTTTTGCACTAGATCTTTGCGTGCAACATCACAATGAACATGGGAAGATATCAGCCACTGGGTTTGAATCAATACACATATCAATCTAAGAGCCACCATACTGACAGACTATTTTACAGTTTGATTGCTTTCAAAAGAGGGCAGCACATCCAGAAACTCAAAAAAGAAGCTCATGATATGTTGCAACAAGTAGAGCAAAGATCAGGTCACACCTTAGCCTATTTGAGATCCCAGTGAGAACATCAGAGGCAACAGCAACTGCAAGCCATGGATAACCAACATATGATATTTTAGTTCTAGCTCAGCATAAAAGAGAATGAAAGTCAAGTCTCTCTATCAATACAGCTTATAATCTTTTCAGTAGAAACAAGGAAAGGAAAGAGGAAAGAAATTGAAAGAAGAAAAAAAAAGGAAAGGAAGAAAAGATGATAAAGGGTGAAGTGGTTGGCTTACCTAGCTCAGCATAAAAGAGAATGAAAGTTTGAGTCTCTGCTGAGCTAAATGGGGGGCAGGGAGCTGAGACTTGAAGTCATTGGTGAATTGAGTTGATTAGGGGGTATCAAATATAGGAAATCCACCATCAGAAACCAGTCACTTTTCCAAAAACTGTTTTTTGCATAAATGGGCCCCAAAAGGGTTTAAATGGATAACCAACATGTTTAAAAAAAGGTGGATTTTTTCAAACCAGTCAATTAAACAATGGTGGATTTGGTTATATTTGATACCCCCTATTATGTTATTCTATGTGAAACCTGTGGAACGGGGTTTCACAACAATCACCCAAAACCTTGATCTCTTTGGAAAGCAAAATTGACTAACTAATTGGGGAGCTGGGTTCTGATTATTTCAGAAATTTTAGCCCAAATGCTACATTTGAGGACCAGATTTTTTTTGCACAACAGATGATTATGGTTGGTTGAAATTTGCTAGCAAAATAAACTAGACTCCCAAGCAAAAGCCTTGGTCAAGTTGAAAATCACCAAGTCAAAGCTTTATGAAGCCAAAG